TACCTACCTCCTGTCCCTATCCTCCCTAGGAACGCACGATGTTCTTTGAACATTATAGGGATTCCCTTTCGTGCGCTCCAAGCGATAAAAAAAAGTCTGGTTCACCAGAAATGTCTAATGGGCAATCCACCGTGAATCATCCTGAAGGCTTACTTCAAGTAATTATGAAATTTCATGACGCGAATCTCGCGAATCAAAATACAGCAGTTTTATCAAGGAAGTCAGCAAATCAACAAGAAATAAATTGAATCCGAATGTTATGTTTCGAAGCGCAAATCGATCTGGAAAAAAATTAACTCTAATGAAGATGAATGAGGTATAAAGGACATACATAGTGACAGTGTAGTGGGTACCATACCGAAAAAATGTGAAATGTTTATATTTCATACATGCGAGAGCCACCTCTTATTAAAAAAAATACATGTTTATGTGTGTTTGCCCAACCAACCGACACTGGAATTTTCATGCTCCTACTATTCCCCTGAGAATTCCACAGCAGTAATTTTCAACGATCAAATTGGGTTTTTCTGATGACAAATCTCCATTGCAAAGTATGTATTTTTTTCCACCACAAGCTCTATACCTTTTCAACTTCAATTTCGGAATCGGTAAGTTATATTTCGGAAAAAGTAATCTCGATTTCAGAATTGGTTAGTTCGATTTCAGAAATGGTAAACTCAATTTCAGAATCGGTGAGATGAATTTCAGAAAATGTCCATTCAATTTCAGAAATGGTAAGTTGTATTTCAGAATTGGTAGGTTCAATTTCAGATAATAAATCCTTATATCTGTTTGAATTGTTTTTAATTGCAAAAAAGAAGATTGTTTACAGTGTATGAAACGCTGTTAGAGAGCGTAGGTACGTTCGAAATGGGCATCCTGCAGATACCATAGTGGTAGTTCTGGATAATGCACCAGCACATTCAAGAATAGCAGAGATATGCATGGAGGAAGAATTTCAAGATGTTATATTTTGCATATTGGCACCTTACAGTCCTATGTTGAACCCAGAAGTCCAGAAGTGAAGAGCTTTTTGCAAGAGCATCGCCAAAGGGTCATAGCCAGGGATCCAAACAGATTGCTCAACCAGATTTTATTGAATTGTTTTTGAAAATATTGTAAATATAGTTTGTTGATTTCACATTCAATTCGAAACATTTCAAACAAATATAAGGATTTGTTTTCTGAAATTGAACCTTCCAATTCTGAAATACAACTTACCATTTCTGAAATTGAATGGACTTTTTCTGAAATTCATCTCACCGATTCTGAAATTGAGTTTACCATTTCTGAAATCGAACTAACCAATTCTGAAATCGAGATTACTTTTTCCGAAATATAACTTACCGATTCCGAAATTGAGGTTGAAAAGGTATAGAACCTACCATTATTTACTCCTTTTCAAGACGTGAAGTGTGTTTTTACTACCAAGGTAGTTTTGGTCATTTTATGAACCACTTGTCATAGCCACCTCTGATATAATGAACCAGAAATCACTGTTCTTATGCGAGATTCGCAAGAATGGCACTCGAATGATCAATAACAACTTGTCACATGCTGTCATGATCATGGCTACTAGATTTTAATCAGAATTGATTTATACACCTTGGTGTACAAATGATTATAGTGGATTTTTTTTTCTTGGGTACCCAACAGTGAATTGAATCGTCAATTTTATGACGTTTTAATAATATTTTGACGTCATAAAATGGTGATTTTGGTGCCCAAACTGCATCTAGCTCGGCCATTGTAAGGCGTATGGAAGGCTAAAAATTCGAAATCTTTGGTGCTAATACGCTTCGACGGCAAGATTACTAATCAACTTAAGGTGGGCGTACATACTCACTTTCATCCTCGCTTTCATCAGAAGGTCACGGAGGTTCCAAGAGGAGAATTAGGAGAAGGAAGAGTAGATTTGTGTAATGAAGGAGTCAGCAACAAGAGCCCACGGGGGCCTAATTGCTAGGCGACCGCCTCCATTACTACTAGTATGTACCTAGGTATGAAAAATTAATTTATAAAATTATAATTTTTTCCACTTCCATAGTAACCCGAAGTTGATTTAAAATATATAGGATGTTACACCTTTCTCGGCCCTCGAGCTTTCGATAAAACTCCACTAGAAATGAGAAAAATCAACTCAGATGAAAGGTTCAGAGTCAAACTCGATGCATGAATCAGAGAACAAAACAGATATTTTGCACACCAAATTATAGATATAAAAAATACCTACCCAATTACTTCTCAACCCTATCTGGCTGCTAGAGGAAATATATAAGTAGTAGGTTGTTGATTACAATTGATTTTATTTCTTTTTTTTTTTTGTTGCTACTCGAATGAGTTCATTGGTTAGATTTATTTAATGAAATACTATAGTTGAAGACGGCTGTGAGTCTAAGCGTTGATTGATATATTACGCTTACGCATAAATTAAATATTACTGACGAAAATACTTTATAATAATTTATTTACTTTTGTCAAGTGTGCCATGGATGATAATTCATTCACTTGTAAGCACTTTCCGAAAAAAGGATATTTTGACGAATCAAACGATACTAATTTATTTGCGATTGGATCAACAGATTTAACAAAATTAACAATAACTTCAGCGATGCACTTAACATTTTTGTCAATTTAATAATCCTCCTTGTTCGAGACACATTTAATATTTAATTTATGTTCTTATTTGTAATCCAATTGCAAATAATTTAGTATCGTTAGATTCGTCAAAATATCCTTCTTTCAGAAAGTGCTTGTCAAAAAATGTTGAAAAATAATGGTTAGTTAGACACGACAATAGAATTTCGCTAACTTGTCTTACTCATATCTATCACATCCAAAAATGTTACAATATACAGGGTGTTCCATTTGAAAATTTAGAACCGGAGCCATTTCCGGTGAAACCGGAAGTGACCGGGAAGTGAAAAATATGTGAAAACTCTTATCTTCACATACCATTCACCTATACCAAATCTCATTTTGATACACCTTATGGTCTAGAAGTTATGACCTGTCTAATAGATTCGTTGACACCCGGTATATAGGTAGCTTCATAAAATCCATATACGCATGCATATAATTATTATTATAATTACTATTATCATTATCAAATAATTGTATTAGTCATACATTATATTATACACTATATGTAAGATATAAAATATTTCTACATGTTACACTGGGCTGGTGGCCGTGAGCGTAGAGTCGCTGGCTGTTGCCCAGGCGGTCCGGGTTCGATCCCCGGCGCGAGCACTGAATTAATTTTCGGTAGTTTCGTTGGGCGGGAGGAGATAGGTGGCCAACCCAACATTCTTGGTACCTAGATATCAATCCTTGGACTGTCCACGGTTACCAGCCGAGTAGTGCTTCGGATGACACTTAAAAAGCTAAGGTCCCCGTCTTCTTAACTCACACAAGTCTCTGACTTTCGAGGGTTGCTTTGCAACTAAGCTGGCGGTTAAAAACACTTTTAAAACACTTTTTTAAAACACGTAATAAACATTATTATTATCATTATTATACAGGGTGTAAATTTGAAAACTCCCAATGCGAATATCTCGCGAAAGAAAAAAGTTAGAAAAACGCCGTTTGACAAAAATGCTGAAGAGTTAAGGGGAACTAGAACCACCATATTTCGGTCAAGGGATGAGTCACCACGTCGGCGCGACACACCCCAACTTTGAAATGTCAAATGGCACTACCTTTTGTGTGATGCCTCAAATGAACAGTCTCAGTCAGTAGTATTCACCTGTACAAGATTTTTTTTCCACCCACTACAGGGTGTACGAAAAATATAAAGTCGAATAAAATATAATGAATTGTGTTAAAAGGATATTTTATTTCATCAAATGTTCAAAATGCATTCCATTCTGTTGTAAGCAATAGTATAATCGATGTTCAAATGCCATTCTAACATTTTGGAACACATCTCTTGGAATATATATCGGCATTCTGCATTTTATTTTATTCGACTATATGTTTTCCGTTCACCCTGTAGTGGGTGGAAAATAAGTCTTGTACAGGTGGATACTACTGACTGAGACCGTTCATTTGAGGTATCATAAAAGAGGTAGTGCCATTTGACATTTCAAAGATGGAGTGTGTCGCGCCGACGGGGTGACTCATCCTTTTACTGAAGTATGGTGGTTTTAGTTCCCCCTAACTCTGTAGCATTTGTGCCAAACAACGTTTTCCTAACTGTTTTATTTAGCGAGATATTCGCATTGAAAGTTTTCAAATTTAGACCCTCGAATTAATTTTTTTCGTACACTCTGTTGTGGGTGAAAAAAAAGTCTTGTACAGGTGAATACTATTGACTGAGACCGTTCATTTGAGGTATCACAAACGAGGTAGTGCCATTTGGCATTTCAAAGTTGGGGTGTGTTGCGCTGACAGGGTGACTCATCCCTCCACTGGAATAAGTTGGTTTTAGCACAGTTAAAAGAATATACAATATATATATTCTTTTAACTGTGGTTTTAGTTCCCCTTAACTCTTTAGCATTTTTGCCAAGCGGCGTTTTTCTAACTTTTTTATGTCGCGAGATATTCGCATTGAAAGTTTTCAAATTTACACCCTGTATTATTATTTGATATGTTTCATTCTAAACTGGAATTTTCATGCAACTACAATAGGTAGACATTAGGAATTTGTGAGCTAGGAATGTATTTTTGGTTCCGAAACTGCGACTCAAACTAAATTTGTTCATGAGCCTATATAGACATCAAATAAATACATGAACTCTAAAATCAACCACAATCTGGTGTGAATTTTCTTACCGAATACATTATTTTCCGAAATATTTCAATATCTAGTGGTAGTGGTAATTACAAGTGAAAACACCCTCACTCAAAATCCGGCCGCGCAAAGAACATTCTATATATCAGTATTTTGTGTTCACCAAAAATCTGTCGATTTGAGCAATTCAAAATTATTATAATCAATATTTCAGTTACTTTATACTACTTTCAAAGCTGATGGTCCTTGAACTTCTCTTTCAGACTGAAAATCGAAATATATCGAATACCATTAAAATGCCAACCATTTAGGAAAACATGTTGGCTTGCGTCTGCCAACCATCCGACCCTGGCATTTTCAGACGCTCCCCAATTCCCCTGGGAACACCCCCGCTCAAAATAACGTCACGAGGTGCCGTTTTCAGACCTCCCGGAAAGAGCATAAGGATCACCGGACCCATAGTAGAACCTCCGAGCGCCACCAACATAGGACAAACAGCAGACTCCCTGGGCGAAACGATTGTGGGAACACCGAATCCGACACCAATAAATCGGGAAGTCCTGCTAAGTCTCGGAAAAGCTGGTAGGAGCCTTAGCAGGAATGAAGAGGTGAGGAAAATTGAGAGGAGAAACGGAGCTGAGGCTCCGGCTTTCAGTTCATCTCCGGTGAAAAGGAAATGCGCGAAACAGTGCTATGTTGATGGAAAACCTGGGAAGAATGGAAACCAATGTAGATTGAGTGATACGGAAGAAAATATAAGCCTTACTACAGATAACTCGGACTGTGATAGGAAATCTGACGACAAATTGAATGAAATCGAAAAGGTATGATGTGGCATGTGTAATTGTCGGAATAAGCTTGAATATTTGTTCAAGTGAGTAAACCCAGCCCTCGTTATGCTCGAATAACATTGATTTGCATGATTGGTGTTGAAAATCATATGAAAATATATGTACATGGTGCCTCATCAAAAATATTAGACAATGACCACAAATAAAACTGATACAGACTCACATGCATATATGTATACAGAAAACATGTTTGAATACATAGAGGGTAGGTATACACTTTAACCAAACGAGAAATTATGATTGAGTGAATTCTTTCGTAGCATATCCACAATTCCTAGAATTCATAATTAAGTATTGATGATGAAAGTAAGGATATCGTAGTTTGGTAAGTTTCAGAGCCCATTCATGTTGGAGAAAAATATTCTAAGCATTCTCAGGGGCAATTTTGAATTATAATTTGATCACTGCTGAAAGTCCATGAGTGGAATATTCAAAGGATAGAGAAAGCTCTACAGTCTATACATAAATATATTGATAAAACTGAGAATTCCTTTGGGTATGCAGTCAAAGAAAAACAAAGTGTACTCTTGTTTCTGTTCAAGCTTTCGAGTCTTTATTGGCTCTTCATCAGGAACTCTATAAAACATTAAAATTGATATGAAAATTAAATCGTTATTATCGATTGTTGAAACACTTACGGATAATGAGATTTTGTTGAAGCTGGCTTCCATTAAGTGGGGAATAATACATGTGTAAAAGAACATTCACAACATGAAAACATCAATATTTTTGAAGATTAATAAACATTTGTTACATTATACTTGAATTATGTCGAGAAAACTTGCAAAGCATTTTTGCTACGATAATTATTACAAATTGGCTGACAACCAGAAGCAGAACAGTAACATGGACACATGTCTGAAAGAATTATGTAATGATCAAAATTCCATCGGTTATGAGTCAATTGTCAATTTCAAAAAATCAGAATTAACGGTACTTCACATTAATTGAGAAGAAATAGAAGAAGAATTGGACATTCATATGATGGTATTGCCAACTGTTCGTATTTAGCGCGAAATTTAAAATTTGAAATTCTTCATTGATAGATATGTTATTGCGATTTTCTGGTAAACTTAAAAGGTGAGAGTAAATTATGCTTAAATTGTCAATGCCAGTTCTAGTATCAATAGTATGAGTTGATTTGAAAATATGTGTCATTTCAAAAAAAGTTCTTTTTTTCAAGTTTGAGAAATGACCCATATGCTTTCATGGTTCCAAAATTCAGTATGGATGGAGACTGAGAGAGCCCCAAAATTTCAAAATGATTCAATTTGGGGTTATTGAGTAATCTCAATGGAAGTCTTGAATTGTTTCCTCAAGATCCAAGTTAGATAGAAAAATCATACAGACGATAAAAAAGTTGTTATTTCAATAGTTCAATCTTAGAAAAATATGAAACCGATGGTGTACTATGATATTCACCATGAATATCGAAAAATGTTCCCACTGTGACGCCATTGGAAATATTTTTTCGGATCTTATTGCACTAGAAGAAGCTCCATATTACTATTAACGAAACCTCAACGTTTTATTGAAATTGCTGAAAAGACAATTGAGAAATGAATAGAAAAAAAATGTCATGAAAATATTGATACCCTGTATCTCGAAAACGAAGCAAGTTAGGACACATGTTTATATGAACTTTATTTCCTAAAATATCACCCCTTAAATTGTTTCGGTGTTATTTAGATACACCCTGTATACTCCAATGTTTCTCTTGTCATAGCTAGTGTTATTGAAAATGTTATTCAGATAATTACGACAGTATGGACCACCCTAAAATTTTCCTGCACAGCAAACATATTCTCATATTAATATTAAATGGAATGGAAAATGGAATTTTCTGATACTCTTTTGCGTGTGTTAGAATTGGTGAACTAGATATCAAATACGATAAAATGTGTTCTATATGAAACCACAAGGACTTTTACGGTCGATAACTGGAAAGGACGTTATAAAATCGATGTTTTATAACAACTCCATGGTAAATAACCCCAAATGAAACATTCTTGAGCGAAATGTTACATTCAGAAAAAAAAACAGATGATTGGTACTTGGTAGGTGCCTACCTAAATTCGGAGAAGACGTAAACCTCAGATAATCGGGCTGTCAATCATATCTTATACAGGGTGGCCTTTTGAAAACAAAACAGAGGCTCTGTAGGTCGCCAAATCGGGATTATGAAAAAAATCTGAAACACGTCAATTACATTTTCGAGGAGAATATCTCTCTAAATTACTGTCAGCTCTGCGGCGTTGCCGATTCTAACGAAAAATAGGAACAACTTTCTTATTTCAAATGTTACACCCTGTATTCCATTGCATTTTCAGATTCTCCCCAAAGATCTGATTTCATCAAGCATCACACTCGAGATCTAGCGGCAATGATTACAGAGCTATAGAGTGTTCAAAATGGAGATTTTTCAACTTTTGGATTTTTTGTGTCGAAACTATTCATCATCAGTCAAAGCGGCTCACATGACCCTATCTGGAATTTCTATTCACTATCTACTGACATTTAATTGGCACAAATACAGGGTGGTTCAAGATTCAGAATTCTGATCACCCTGTATCTGTTCCAATTAACTGTCAGTAGATAGTAAATCAAAAGTTGAGGTGGGGATATAAAAGCCGTTTTGACCAATAATGAATAGTTTCGACACAAAAAACCTCGCAAAAAACGCTAAAGTTGAACAAATCAATGTTGAACACCCTAGAGCTCTGTAATTATTGACGCTAGAACTCAAGTGTGATGCATTGATAAAATCAGCTCTTTGGGGAGAATCTAAAACTGCAATGATATACAGGGTGTTCCATTTGAAATAATAATGTTGTTTCTATTTTTCGTTTGAAGCGGCAACGCCGCAGAGCTGAAAATAATTTAGAACCCCCCCACGAAAATGTGTGTACACAGGGGGTTGTGAGATTCAACTTAGAACGCCTGGCAGGTCATATAGCTCTCGTGATTTCCTAATAACTAATAAGGTTCAGTTCTCGAGCTACAGGGTGTTGGGATTGAGAAATAAAAAGTGTTTTCACGCAATAACTTCAGAGCATTTCAATTTAACAAGGTTTTGAAGTATAAATAATGTCTGTTGGTTGATCTAGGAGGCGGAATATTCATTTCTCTAGATTTTTGGAAATTTTCTCCTTGATGATGATATTAGAAGTCGAAACTTGTGCGTGGAAGAACGGGACCTACAGCTTATAATGGAATTCGAACCACTTGTAGGTGCTGCCAGAATTACAACCGTGAATCACGCACATTTTTAAGGAAACACCCAACACCTTCGCATCGTGAACGGCTAACCAGCGAGTTCCAGCGCAGACCGATGCACGGCTCCCCTTATGTTTTTTTATCTCTTGAAGCGCACGAAAAGAAATTCCTATGATATTCTAAGAACACCGTGCGTCCCTAGAAAGGATTGGGCTGTTCAAGATGCCTGCTATTGTTTTGAATGAGGGTATATATTTATTTATACATTTTCATAGAAGAGGGTAGGCATAGTCGTTTCTGACTATATAGGTTAGAAATAACTGGAGGAATAACTATATATATAGTAACAAGTAACTTTTTGAGTCTGCAGCAATGCAAAAAGAGTATACTCAAGATTTCGAAAATAGTTATCTCCATCTTCCAGGGATACAAAAAAATATAAAACATTGGAATGATTGAATACTGAACTGTGATTAATATTTACCAACTCACAGGGAATTATTGCTGTTGCAATAGACTTATAATAATATTGACTCAGAGTACATTCATGCACGACCAAGCGTGAAGTGACACTTTATCGTCCGGCCTCGCGGGCACCTTCGCGTCCTAGGGCGATAAAGGAGTACAGTAGAGTAAAGTAGGTAATCGGGCGGTGAAGTAATTCCATTGTTTTTCCAGTAACTTTCAGTAGACTACCATTCGATCTTTCTTCGCCAGTATACACGCTGCGGTCCATAAAAGCCTACTTTACACCCTTGATACATAAATAACTATTCTATAGGTATCGGATCGTCATCTGATCACAGTAAACAGGAATGAATCTCAGTCGAATGACTATATTTTTTGTTGATATAATTTTTGTCTCGTGAAATAAAATCTATTTCCTTGAAAATGTTTCTCATCATGTAAGACTCCCTTGTATACAGTATTCATGATATAATGATTCTGACAGTTTTTCATGAAATCATAACTCGTGATACATTTTTAGGTAAGAGAAACGCCAAGTTTCCCGAATATATAAAAATATACCTTGTTTCCATTGAGTAATAAATTCGCCCTTTATTATACCTGACAAGATGCATGTTTTCAGGTTACAGCAAGAAGTTGTTATGTGAAAGTAAATTCGTAGGAAAAATTAAGAAATAGACTGTTGGCACAAACAACAAATGAATATCTTGAATAGTTCACCTATATGTACGTACACAGTGTGTCCCGCTTATTATGGTGCGATTATCTTGAAATTTGTGTAGTGATGATATGTTAGAGTAAGGAAGTATTTAGCATCAGAATGAACAGTTTCATTCACCGAGCGATGTTGAGGGGTACAAAGAATGCTTTTATTTGGGAAAAGGATATTAGGGCTTATTTTAAATAACTGTTTGTATCAGATTCATAATCAGCATCCCCAAAAACCTCTCAATCCATATTTTCAAAATCCCAAGAGCTGAAATAAAATGTTTCAAAATCCCGCTTTTCATGACATTACCCTTGAATCTCAGTCATCAACGATGCGATTTTCTTGAAATTTTGATGATGATTGTATGTTGAAAAAATAACATACACTCACCATCACAGTTTCGAGAAAATCATATCATTAATAACTGAGATTTTGGGGCGTAGTCATGAAAAGCGGGATCTTGAATTTTTCTTGAGATTTTGAAAATATGAATTGGGGGGTTTTGGGGGATGCTGATTCTGAATCTGATAACAGTTATTTAAAATAAGCCCTAATATCCTCTTTCCGAATAATGGCTTTT